AGACACTTGCTGAAACACCTCAGCAAGCGAGAGTCCAAAAGTGGCAGGCTCAAACCCAGAACCTCAACCAATGGCTGATACCAAATGAGAAACTCCCCCCTGGGCACACAGAGGACTGGGCAACTTGGAAGGCGCTGAACAGACTGCGCTCTGGCACCACAAGATGCAGAGCCAACCTTCAGAAATGGGGCTACAAAGTGGAATCCTCGACATGCGAGTGCAGAGAGGAGCAAACCACTGACCACCTGCTCCACCTGGACATTAGGAAGAACTTCCTGACTGTGAGAGCCGTTCAGCAGTGGAACTCTCTGCCCCGGAGTGTGGTGGAGGCTCCTTCTTTGGAAGCTTTTAGGCAGAGGCTGGATGGCCATTTGTCAGGGGTGATTTGAATGCAATATTCCTGCTTTTTGGCAGGGGTTGGACTGGATGGCCCATGAGGTCTCTTCCAACTCTTTGATTCTATGATTCTATGATAAACAGCCCGCCTGCTGCAATGCACCCTGAGCCCTGCCACATGCACAATGGAGGACCTTCTTGCAGCAACACCAGAAGCACTCCAAGTGGCCATACTGGTCAAAGGACATTTAATCAACTACCAAACTCGCAAATTTTGTATTTTGTCTGTTTGCTTGTTTTGTTCTGTTAGAAATGTAATACAATTGACTGGTTGCCCTGACACAACAAATAAATAAATGCCAGGGAATGGGTTCAAATAAGAAGGAGATTCCACATGAACATGAGGAAGAGCTATTTAACAGTGGAATTCTCTGCCTCGGAGACGGTGGAGGCTCTTTCTTTGGAGGCTTTTAAACAGGATGAATGGCCATCTGTCAGGGAGGCTTTGATTGTGCTTTTCCTGCATGGAAGAAGGGGTTGGACTAAATGACCTTTGGGAGTCCTTTCCTACTCTTTTACTCTATGAGTCTATAATTCCCAGGAGCATCTAAGGGTCCTTTTCCCGGTGCTAGAACGTCTTTCCTGGAGAGGCGAGACTGCAGTTCCTCCTGGGTGAGGGAGGAGAAGGTCTTGATGCTTTTGCAGGCCTTGGAAGAAGAAGAACTTCCTGACTGTAAGGAGAGCCGTTCAGCAGTGGAACTCTCTGCCCCGGAGGGAGTGTGGTGGAGGCTCCTTCTTTGGAAGCTTTTAAAGAGAGGCTGGATGGCCATCTGTCAGGGGTGATTTGAATGCAATATTCCTGCTTCTTGGCAGAATGGGGTTGGGCTGGATGATGGCCCAGGAGGTCTCTTCCAACTCTAGGATTCTAGGATTCTCTCCTGACAGATGGCCACCCAGCTCCTGTTTAAAATCCTCTGGAGAAGGAGACTCCCAACGGCCTCCCAGGCAGCAACATATTCTGCCCTCAAACAGCTTTTACCACCAGGAAAATATTTTCCTAATGTTTACAAGGAATGTCTTTTCCTGCCATTGGAATGCCTAGCTCCATTGGGACCCAGTCTCTGGAGGAGCAGAAGACAGGCCTTGCCCATTCATCCTCAATAGGACCTCCTCGCAGGTATGTAAACATGGCCTTCATGATGTCCCCATCTCTCAACCTTTTCTTCTGCAAGCAAATCGCCCCTTCAGTCATCCCTCAAAGGGATTTATAGTTTCCAGGCCTTGGACCACTTTGGTGGCCCTTCTCTGGACCCCCATCCTTCTTCTCCCTCTTCTTGCATTGCTTTGCACAGAACTAGACACAGTCTTATTACATTACGAAGAGCTTCCTGACTGTAAGGAGAGCCGTTCAGCAGTGGAACTCTCTGCCCCGGAGGGAGTGTGGTGGAGGCTCCTTCTTTGGAGGCTTTGAAACAGAGGCTGGGTGGCCATCTGTCAGGGGTGATTTGAATGCAATATTCCTGCTTCTTGGCAGAATGGGGTTGGACTGGATGATGGCCCAGGAGGTCTCTTCCAACTCTAGGATTCTAGGATTCTATGATACAGGAAAGGAGATTCCACTTGAACCTGAGGAAGAACTTCCTGACTGTGAGAGCTGTTCAGCAGTGGAACTCTCTGCCCCGGGAGTGTGGTGGAGGCTCCTTCTTTGGAGGCTTTTAAACAGAGGCTGGATGGCCATCTGTCAGGGGTGCTTTGAATGCAATATTCCTGCTTCTTGGCTGAATGGGGTTGGACTGGATGATGGCCCAGGAGGTCTCTTCCAACTCTAGGATTCTAGGATTCTATGACCGCTTGGGGCATAAAGCGCTGGGTGGTCTATTGATTGTTTTCTTTGGAAGGGCACGGTTTTTAGATTGACTTTAACAGTATTGACAGCTGAATTACGACGGCTGGCTTTTGTTTGAAGAGGAGCAGCTTGAGTCCTGGGCTGGAGGGAAGGGGCAGCCACGGAAGAGGCAGGACCCTGTGAGAGGACCACTTTGCCACCGCCTTCCTCTGAGGCTGAGAGAGTGCGACATGCCCCAGAGCTTCCGGGGCTGAGCAGGGATTTGAACTCTGGTCCCTCCAGAGGAGACTTGTGGTGCATCTACACTGTCGCATCAATGCAGTTTGGCATCCTGTTACTTACTTCCTTAGGCAATCCCTCGTTGTCCGAGTAGGATAATCCTCCAGGATAGGTCCGTAGGTGACTGTGGAGCCCTATTCTTGATCTGCATCTTCTTCCACAGTGAGAGCATTGGTTTCCAGATGGAGGGCAGTCTCGGTTCGGGATTGGCTTGGTGCACCTTCCTCTTTGCACGTTTCTCTCTTTCACCCTCTTCAAATTCTACAGCACTGCTGGTCACAGCTGACCTCCAACTGTAGCGCTCAAGGGCCAGGGCTTCCCAGTTCTCAGTGTCTATGCCAGAGTTCTTAAGGTTGGCTTTGAGCCCATCTTTCAATCTCTTTTCCTGTCCTCCAACATTTCATTTTCAGTTAACTGCAATGGCCCATTGTTATGGGATCTTGGAAGTTGGGAGTTTGGCCCTTTGGCAGAGAAGGCCGTGAGACCTTGTGAAACTGCAAATCCCATGGTTCCATAGCAGTGGGGGGTTTGGTTTTTGCCCCAAAACTAATTCATTGTCCTAACACATTTTGGAACCCCTCAAAAATAATTTTTAGGGCAGGCATGGGCAAACTTGGGCCCTCCAGGTGTTTTGGACTTCAACTCCCACAATTCCTAACAGCCGGTAGGCTGTTAGGAATTGTGGGAGTTGAAGTCCAAAACACCTGGAGGGCCCAAGTTAGCCCATGCCTGCTTTAGGACAACTATGCATCCTATCCTTGCTCCCAACGCAGCATTTTCAAAGACTTTTGCGTGAAAATGCATCCTTTCCTTGGCTCTGAGTCCCTATTATTATTATTATTATTATTATTATTATTATTATTATTATGTTACAATGGAGAGCCGCCCCTGACCTGCAAGTGCGCCTGTGTGTTTACAAAGCAAAATGTGGTTCCTGTCTGCGCCTTCCTTGTGCTAATGAATACTTAATCGTGATCAGAGGGATTAATTTTTAACAGCCTTTCCGTAATAGTGGAGCTATGAATAAAGGAGGCCGTGCCGACACCAGGCGAACGTGGATTTGCCTTTGCGCAAACCTTGGGGACTTTGCTGAGCGAGGACTTCCCCATCATCCCTTTCTTGACCTTTTTTCAGCGGCAAAGACTGAGGTTGAATCCAGGGAAGAAGTTCTGCATTGGGTGATGTTGCCACAACTTCTGCCAGGCAGGAAGACACAATCGAAGCCCTCCTGGCAGATGGTCATCCAGCTTCTGCTGAAAGATCTCTATAGAATCATAGGGTTGGAAGAGACCTCATGGGCCATCCAGTCCAACCCCATTCTGCCAAGAAGGAGGAAAGTTGTGTTCCAAGCACACCCAACAAATGGCCACCCAGCCTCTGCTTAAAAACCTCCACCACACTTTGGGCCAGAGAGTTCCACTGCTGAACAGCTCTCTCTCACATAGAATCATAGAATTATAGAATCAAAGAGCTGGAAGAGACCTGGTGACCATCCAGTCCAACCCCCTGCCAAGAAGCAGGAATATTGCATTCAAATCACCCCAGACAGATGGCCATCCAGCCTCTGTTTAAAAGCTCCAAAGAAGGAGCCTCCACCACACTCCGGGGCAGAGAGTTCCACTGCTGAACGGCTCTCACAGTCAGGAAGTTCTTCCTCAATGTATTGTTGAAGGCTCTCATGGCTTGTAGTTTGAAGCCATTGTTCCGCGTCCTAGTCTCCAGGAAGCAGAAAACAAGCTTGCTCCCTCCTCCCTGTGGCTTCCTCTCACATATTTATACATGGCTATCATATCTCCTCTCAGCCTTCTCTTCTTCAGGCTAAACATGCCCAGCTCCTTAAGCCGCTGCTCATAGGGCTTGTTCTCCAGACCCTTGATCATTTTAGTCGCCCTCAAAGGAATCCTAGGCTGCATCACTTGGCGTATAGAGTTGATATTGAGGGAAGAAGACTTCATCACAGTAGAGAATGAATCCACTAAAAATCCTGTTTCTGCCTCCTGCAGAATTCTGGGGTTTGTAGTTTAGGGAGGAGCCTTTAACAGCTTCAAACTACAAACCCCAGAATTCTGCAGGAGGCAGAAACCAGGTTTTAAGTAGATTCATTCTCTATTGTGGTGAAGTCTTCTTCCCTCAATATCAACTTTATACTCCAATTGATGCAGTTTGGATCACTTTGGCCTTTTTAGCTGCTGCATCACGCTCGCTCAGACTCCTCGTCATGTTTCCTTGGCCTGTTTCCAAGCCATATTCTATAGCCCTTCCCTCGATCTGGTCACTCGGCTCCTCTTGACGCAGCCTAGGATCACACTGGCCTTTTTAGCTGCAGCACCACACTCCTGGCTCATGGGTTCAGATTGTAGTCTATAAGACTCCCCTAGATCCCTTTCCTGACCTGTGGCCACTCTGGTGACCTTCCTCTGGAGCCCTCCCAGCCGGCCAGTATCCGAAGTGAGTGTCTTGTCTGGGTAGGGGTGCCTTGGGGTGGTCCTGTGCCCCCTCCCATTCCCTCCTTTGGCCACTGCCCCGCTTCCTTCCTCACCTGTGTCTCGGAGAGGTTGAGCTGCCTGGCCAGCTCCGTCCGCTCCCTCCCCACGACGTATTGGCAGCGCTGGAACTCCAGCTCCAGCCGGTAGAGCTGCTCCGCCGTGAAAGAGGTCCGGGTTCTCTTGGGCCGGTCGAGGTCCAGGCCTTTGGGGAGGACGATCTCCCGGATGGTCCCTTTGGCATCTGAAAGACAGAGGCAGAGTCACTCCCAGGACTGACCCACAGGGCGCAGAGACCGAGGCCAGGGCCCCGTGGAGTCCCCTGGAGCAGTGGCATCGCTGAGACAAAGCCATGGATTCAAGGGGTCTAACTGAGAGTGGACAAGGGCAGGAAGGTCTCTTTCATTCCAACATAGAGGGAGCAGGCTTCCTTCCTGCTGCTCTAGAGACTAGGCTTCAATGAAGCCATGGGTTCACCGTTCACATGACAGGGAATGAACTTTATTAGCAAGCACCTAAGAGCTGTTCAACAGAGGAACTCTCTGCCTTGGAGTCTGGTAGAAGCTCCTTCCTTGGAGGTCTTTAAACTGAGGCTGGATGGCCATCTGTCAGGGATACTTTGATGGTGCTTTCCCTGCATGGAGGAAGGTGGTTGGACTGGATCATCCCTGGAGTCCCTCCCACCTCTATGATTCTATGATTGCACAAAGTAGGTCAGAAGGACTCCATTTCCAAGTCAGTCTCTGAGCCAGAGTTTAGGATTCTGTGGAAATGTGGCTGGCGTCCTCTTGATTTGACTCCTGGGCAGAGATGTTGGAGAAGAGGGTTCCAGCCCCCTTTCCTCAGCCATGGAAACACATTGGGCAGCCTTAGAATCCTAGAGTTGGGAGAGACCTGGTGGGCCATCATCCAGTCCAACTCCATTCTGCCAAGAAGCAGGAAAATTGCGTTCAAAGCACCCCTGAGAGATGGCCATCCAGCCTTTGTTTAAAAGCCTCCATAGTAGGAACCTCCAAAACACTCTAGGGCAGAGAGTTCCACTGCTGAACAGCTCTCCTCACAGTCAGGAAGTTCTTCATGTTCAGGTGGAATCTCCTTTCCTTCTTGTAGTTTGAAGTCCTAGTCTCCAGGGCAGCAGAAAGCACCCTATCACAAGTGAGGTTGGTGGGGACGAGGAGCAGGGCCTTCTCGGTGGTGGCCCCTGACCTGTGGAATTCACTCCCTGGGGAAATTAGGTCATCGACATCCCTCCTCTCTATCAGAAGGAAACTAAAAAAACATGGATATGGGACCAGGCTTTTGGGTAATCTGGCAGATGTACAAAGAACAATGACGACTAGAATTGATAGGATTTGACAATGTGGAATGAATTTACGGATTCTGAGCTGGCGAACGTTGAGCATTAGACGGGTTTTATTGATTATGATGTATAATTGATTGTTCTAATTGTTTATAATTGTTGTCTACATATGTTCTATTTTATTGTTGTGTTGGCATCGAATTGTGCCTTTTGTAAGCCGCCCTGAGTCCTGCCCTCGGAGGTTGAGAAAGGCGGGGTAGAAATACGTGAAATAAATAAATAAATAAATAAATAAAGCAAGCTTGCTCCCTCCTCTCTAGGACTTCCCCTCACATTTTGATCCATGGCTCTCATCGTGTCTCCTCTCAGCCTTCTCTTCTTCAGGCTAAACATGCCCAGCTCTTTAAGCCACTCCTCACAGGGCTTGTTCTCCAGACCCTTGATCATTTTGGTCGCCCTCCTCTGGATACATTCCAGCTTAGAGTCAACCTCTCCCTTCAATTTTGGTGCCCAGAATTGGACATAGTGTGATTCCAGGTGTGGTCTGACCAAGGTGGAATAGAGGATGGGGAGCAGGACTTCCCTGGATCTAGGCTCCTATGGATGCAGGCCAAAATCCCATTGGCTTTTTTAGCTGCAGCATCACATTCCTGGCTCATGTTTAACTTGTTCCCCACGAGGACTCCAAGATCTTTTTCACACGACCTAGGGCACAAGTCCCACTCTCTCAGCCTCAGAGGAAGGCAATGGAGGCAAGTCTCCTCAGGACAAATGGGCCACAGAACCAACCACCCAGCCTGTGGTAAAGACACCCTCAATAGGAAGCGACTTGGAGGCACACAAGAACACAGGAGTAACAATGGAGGTAAAGCCCAGAGAGGAGGGAGCAATGGAGGTAAAGATTCAAGAGATGTGCTCTTGGGGTGGAACGAGTGCCGCTTGGCACCACTTCTACAGCCATGGCTCCATGCTATGTGACTCTGGGAGCTGCAGCTTGGCAAGGCACCTGCACTCTTTGCCTGAGGAAGCTGAGAGGACCTTGTAAAACTAGAAATCCCAGGACTTTGAGCCACGGCAGTTAAAGTGGGATGAAGGACAGTGTGGATGCACCCTCGGGAGACAAAGGGACGCCTAGTGGCAGAAGGACACACTGCAGAACAGCCGGGAAGAGGGAGGTAATGGCAGGGATTAATTACAGTATATTCTGGCGTATAAGACTACTTTTTAACCCAAGAAAATCTTCTCAAAAGTCAGGGGTCGTCTTATACGCGGGTGTAGTCTTATGCATGAGAGTTGTCTTAACTCTATATTTTAACTGGAAAAGTTGGCGGTCGTCTTATACGCCCAGTCGTCTTATATGCCGGAATATACAGTAGCTACCTGGAGCAAGACGGCTCTTGGGGAATCTGGGGTGGTTCATAAAAGGTTTCTAAGCAGAGGCTGGATGGCCATCTGTTGGGGGTGCTTTGATTGTGCTTTCCTGTCAGCCAAAAGAGGGTTGGACTGGATGGCCTTTGGGTTCCCCTTCCAACCCTTTGTCTTGGCTCCTGTGCAAATGTACCTGGAGTCCTGTTGGTATTTTATGCCCACACCAGAAAGCCGTGTGGAGTAGTGATACAAGCATTAGACGAGGACTAAAAACACAACATTTATTCAAAACCATATAAAAGTAAGTAGCATATACAATAAAACCCCGGTATCCACAGAACCGTTACAGTTACAGAACCTTAACTGTGCAGGTACAACTGTACCAGGAGCTCCAATTTTGTTTGCTTTGCATTGCATGTTTGTTGTAGTCCTAAGTTTCAGGGACTCTGCAGATAGGTGGCTTCTTTTGGCTGCAATCACAGGGCAAGCCACCTGCCAATTATAGTTAGGTTCCCTGGTCCCACCCCGTTTTGGGTTTTTGGAGGGAATAGGAGCCTTTTTGGGTTCAGTCCACACAGAGAAGCTTTCCATGCAGGACATAATACCAAGAGCTCCTGCAGAAAGCTTCGTCTTCTACAGCTTGGCTGGGGAGATATACAGCCCAAAGCTTGACCAGGGTTATACAGCCCTACATCTCCTTTGCTGAAGGACTTCAGTCAGCCATCACGGAAGCCTGAGTTCTTTTTTCCCCTGGAAGTCTACAAAGCTCTGCTTGGTAAGGGTCGCTCACAGAAGCCAGATGCAGTTGGTACCGGGTGCAGGGGCTCCACGCCAACAGAGGCAAAGACAGACTGCCCAGATCAGAAGTTAAGGATTTCCCCATTAGTTAGTACACAGTTACGAAGATAGTGCCTGTTCCCTGTGGACAAGCTTGAGAGAGAGCCAATAGACTGTTAAGAAAGTCTTAAAGTACTTGTTTGTTTTCATCAATAAAGAACTTTGTTGAACCTTTAAGCAATCTAAAGACTCTGTTTCAAGGAAATCCAAAGGCCTTTAATCTGAGGCAGCCCTGGCGTCCCGTTGAGCACACAGAATTTATGTCCTGTCTACAGTCTGATGCATAGGCCCAGCGTGCGACAGCACATTAACGATGCTCCATACCATCATGCCAGTGGCCACATGACCTTGGAGGTGTCTGCGGACAACGCCAGCTCTTCAGCTTAGAAATGGAGATGAGCACCAGAGTCCCAGAGTCGAACACAACTGGATTTAATGTCAAAGGGAAACCTTTGCCTTTTTATCCACAGAACCAGTATCCACAGTTTCATTCAACCATATCCAACAAAGAAGTCCTTTCTAAGGAAGTCCCTTTGGCACAATTCTATGTAATAATAATAATAATAATAATAATAATAATAATAATAATAACCTTATTTATACCCCGCCACCATCTCCCTCAAAGGGGACTCAGAGCGGCTTACATGAGGCCAAGCCCAACAACACATCGATAAAAACAACAAGCAATAAGCAAAATAAATAATACAATTTTATTTTGTTATTCTTGAGTCTGAAGCCCTTCAACAGCAACAACAACAACAGCACCATACTCCCTTTTCTCTCATGCTGAGATCCAAAACAGTTAGTGACTATTTCAGTTGCATTCCTGTTATCAATGATTTTGTGCACGCACGCACACATACACACACATACACACAGAGTCTGAGCCTGCAGCCCACATGGATATGGGGATCAAAATTCTGTTCCTGCCATTAAAATCAATTTCTACTATGGAGCCTTGGGAATTTTAGTGCGCCATGGCAGTTAGTGGTGCAAACTGCACCAATTCCACAGTGTAGATGTGCTGGGGAAAGTGGAAGGCAAAAGGAAGAGGGGCCGACCAAGGGCAAGATGGATGGATGGCATCCTTGAAGTGACTGGACTGACCTTGAGGGAGCTGGGGGTGGTAACGGCCGACAGGGAGCTCTGGCGTGGGCTGGTCCATGAGGTCACGAAGAGTCGGAGACGACTGAACGAATGAACAACAACAACAAGATGTGCCTTAAGATTCTGGGGGAACCAGGATGCAATCCTTGCTCAGCCAAGGAAACACACTGGAGGAGTCACACTGTCTCAGCCTCACAAGAAGGCAATGGTGGGGCCACTT